AACCGAAACTACGTCGAAAGAGGCCGTTTGCCAACTATCGTCGCCGAAAGCGAAACCGAATCTGTCGGCCTCTATCCCGCTCCCCATATTTTTATTTTATTATTTCCCTTCTACGTGGCTTCACCGAAAGGTCCAAGAATTTCAAAAAAATACAACCAATCGCCCTTCGCCACCGAATGGCGGTAACGTCTACGTGACTTTACCGAAAGGTCCAAGAATTTCAAAAAAATACAACCAATCGCCCTTCGCCACCGAATGGCGGTAACGTCGCCGGGCTAGCTGCACTTTGAAGGCAAGTGAAGTGTCGAAGGCTCACTGGCAGGTCATGGAACAAACCCAGCATGTGCCATGGGTTGACCGACTGAGATGACTTGCAGATGCACCACCTGTGCTCCCCCCCCCCCCCCCCCACTGTGACATATCGCTGCGTTGTAGCCGCCCGGTGCTCCACTCGTTATTGCGAGCGCCGCTCCTCCGCCCTCCGTTGTTGATTGAGGTCGTGTGCCTCCAATTGCCCAATTGCGTCCTTCGCGAGCCTCCTCCTCCACAGGGGCCGATCTTGACTTTTTGTAGATTTTGTTCTTTTTTTGGAAATTTTAGTTGAAAGAAAAACATAAACCCTGAGTTATAAGCATGTACTTGCGGGGAGCGGTGATGTAGGTAGAGATTAGGGCGCTGCGCTACGAACCCGGCCACCCGAGTTCTATTCCCGCTCGCGGCCAATACCATTGACGATCATCTGAAACGGTTCTGGGCCTACCCTAGGTCGACTCAGCCTCAAATGAGTACCTGGTGCGGCGTGTAAACATTGCCACTGGGGAGAAAAAGGCGGTCGGACGTGGTGTTGGCCACCCACCCCCTCGTGTGCCATGCCGGCCTTCATAGGTGCTCGCTAACAGCACTTGCCCCAACAGTCTGTTAAGGCTATACTAGGGGATCTTTGTCTTTGCGTCCACAGATGTCACGAAACACAACGGAGCGAGTGTCTCATTTTAAATGTTTTTAAAGGTCTCCTTGCATCGGGGGAAAAAAACCCCTACATCTGCAGTACCGCGCTAATCTTTCATTTTAGAAACCATAAAACAAAGCAACGCCTGAATACGAAAACAAAATCCCTCTTTTTTTATTTCGAAAACGGTGACAGTGTTTTCATTGAAAACGGGATAAGCAACGATGGACACAAAGGCGTGAATACAACACGGAAAAAAAACATCGATATCTCTCAACCACCCACACACTCTCTCTCTCTGCCCCTCTCACCCGACTCACACCACTCGCTCTCACTTCGCACTCGCGACAGGGACGGCTCAGGAGAATAGAGTTTGAGACTTGCGTTGACCAAGCTGGTCACACGGATTCTGACTTCGCATTAACTTGAGGGTGGCCCTTTAGCCGGACATATATATAAAAAGGCACGTGCACGTTCATCAAATTCCGTAAAGAATTCATTACTTACGGTGTATGCACACGTGACGTTCAAGTCATACGCGCAGTTACACAGGCAAAACAGATTAGATTGGAAAAAAAAAGTTCGCTGATAGTGAGATCGTATGAACGAGTTAAGTAAAGATTTACAACTTGAATCAAATCGTTACACTAAATCGTGACAAGTTAATATTCTTATTTCGTATGGCTGACGCAGATGGCAGAGTAACAACAACAATTTCACATTCAGGTGGGCAAGCCAGACAACCACGTCAGGATCAGTGTAGTGCATCATCGCAGCAACAGAGTATTCACATTCCTGTAAACCCATACGGTTCATCTTCTTTGGTGGTTCTTTCGGTAAAGTCACGTAGAATGAGAATAAAATAATAAATTGATAAAATAAAATAACGCAGTAAAATTCTCACGACGTGACTTTACCGAAAGAACCAAAGAAGATGAATCCTTGCAGTCACGAAAGCTTTAAATCGAAATTTAACCCATACGGTTAACCACGTTTTTTTTTTGTACAGGGAAATTGAGATTTCAGGTCCATGCGGCGAACAGCCGTTTCAATACGAGCAACAAGCAAAAAAAAAGTGTCTATACTCTTTGGTTATTTCGGCAAAGTCACGTAGGTATAAGATAAAGCGGTCATCCGCAGGCGGAAAAAAAAAATCCAGCAGTGGAACTGCTGAACTAGCGAGAGAGCAGCTACCACCGCCTGAGGCCGACCCCCGCTTGTGTTGCGATCTAAACGTCGTGATATATTTTATTTTTCTACCGACGTGACTTTACCGAAATAAGCAAAGAGTATGGATTCCAGCAGTCACGAAAGCTTCAAATAAAAAAAATGTGTCTATTTGTTTGTGTTTCTCCCTTATGATGGGACCTTTGTAGGATGAACGTTGAGATTTATAAGGGGCACGGGGGTGACCAATAAGGTCTAGAATTGGTCTGTAATAAGGTAGGGCGCTGATAATGGGTTGACAGCTATGGACTATCATCATCAGAGCTGCGATGTCTCATTCGTGTTTGTGGATTAGCGCAGTGCGTCGTTACACGTTGTACGGTCCCGTTCCGGATGACCACCACAGTCGCCACACGACTAACGGAGAGTTGTTGATTTTCCGTTTGTGCATCACGTATCATCCCCGCATCTGCTGCTGCCATGGTATGTGCAGTGGGTGCGGTTTAGGGTGGACCGTGAGCTTCGCGGAAGATCGAAACCAGTGATCCTCTGCGTTGGGTCTTTCACAACGAGGCGTTTGTTTGTGGTCGAGCAACACATTTCAATTGGTGTTTTGGACAAAGTTGCATGTTGCAGTCGAGTGCAACTTCACTTTGCACCACGAACAACAAACACTATTTACAAAACAGTGCTGAATTACAGTCGCAACGTTTAACTTCACCACGCTATTAAGCCCATAGCCGCCTGCATAAAATAAAATACCTTCAGAATTTTCTTTGAACCAAATTGGTGTCTTCTTGGCTCTTTCGGTAAAGTCACGTAGAATGAGAATAAAACAATAAAACAAAATAAGACAATAAAATTCTCACGACGTTTCGGCCACAACACAAGTAGCCTCCTTCAGAATTTTATTGTCTTATTTTGTTTTATTGTTTTCTTCTCATTCTACGTGACTTTACCGAAAGAACCAAGAAGATGAATCCTTGCAGTCACGAAAGCTTTAAATCGAAATCCAAATCGGTGTCGTTTTGGAAGACAAACTAAATGATGCCCTACGAGTTGGGAAGAAAGGCCAATTGCCCAAAACGTCACCTATCATATACTTTTCCATTCAAGGCACCAGTTTCATTGACATGAGGTTATATTTTTCGTTATATAAAGGATTTGCATTCATTGGGCGTTGGTTAAATACCCGGACGTCTCAAAGCACACATTACATCCCATATCAATCATTCCAAAGTACAGCCGGAGCTTTATATTTTTTTTATTTAGGCAAGGGAGACTCCTGATGACAGCAGTCTCTGTGTGACACACAGCACTGGCCCGAAAGTGGACGTAAGCCTGTCAGTAGGGGGCGACGCTGCTACTGGATATTTCATTTCACAAGCAAGTAAATCATAATAAAGGTTAAATTTTGATTTAAAGCTTTCGTGACTGCAGTAATTCATATTCTTAGTTCTTTCGGTAAAGTCACGTTGACCGTTTGTGTTATGGTCGAAACGTCGTGAGACTTTTTATTGGTTTATATATTTTATTATTTTATTGTTTCCCTTCAACGTGACTTTACCGAAAGAACTAAGAATATGAATACATAATAAAGGTTTTTGGGTTAGATCGCGTTATCTATAAATGTGTCGTAACCCTCCACCACCCGACACGGCCAATCAGCAAAAAAAGTGTCACGTTGACAAAAGACAAATAATTCACTACTTTAGCCCACCGGTGTGTTGAAGAGTGAATCCACAACATTTACAGTTTGAGTACGACATTCGGCGAATTGCCCGATGATGCTGGATGTATTTACCAGCGAAACGTCGTACTCAAACTGTAAATGTTGTGGATTCACTCTTCAACACACCGGTGGGCTAAAGTAGTGAATTATTTGTCTTTTGTCAACGTGACACTTTTTTTGCTGATTGGCCGTGTCGGGTGGTGGAGTGTTACGACACATTTATAAATAACGCGATCTAACCCAAAAACCTTTATTATGAATATTGGTCGCGAAAGCCTACGTGTTAAACTAAGCAAGTAAATGTTTGTCAAAAACAATTGGGACCACGACGCCGGACACACGCGGCTCAATAGGAGGCAATTCCAGTGACGGTGTCGTACGCAATGCAATAGGCCATCAGTCGTGACCCTAACATCAACAAACATAGCCAATAAACCTAAGCCTCACCCTATCTAATACTGTACAGCACCTCTGATTAGCACGCTCGGCTACGTACGGTGCGAAAGAAGTTCCACAAATGTACAGTGAAACCTTGGATTGCGAGTAACTTGGTCTGCGAGTGTTTTGCAAAACGAGCATTTTTTTTTTTATAAATAAAACAAAATTTGATAAACGAGCGATGTCTTGCAATACGAGCAGTACGTACAGTATACGCTTTGTCTGCCTAGCGTCACGTGATCACAACTGAGCCAATGGTTCTTCTCTCTCCCTCGCTGCGGGATTGTGGGTAATCATCTCCCATGCTCGGTCTCAGTCGGCGTGCCTCACTCATGTTGTCAACATCCGTGCAGCGTATACTGTTTACTATAGTACTATAGTGTTGTGACCACGTGTATACTGTTTACTATAGTACTATAGTGTTGTGACCACGTGTGACTGCGTAAAGCATGTTTTTATTTTGTGTCCAAGTGTAGTGACTGTTCTTTAGTAGCTGTACTGCAAGTGAAAGTCGTCCTACGCAATAACCCTCCTCCTCCTCTCTCGTCTCCCTCACACCAGCCACGATTAAATGTTATTTATAAAATTGATTACTTTATATTAAATTTAAATAATAAAAATATAAAAAGGTATTTTGTATTAATAATTTTACATGCATACAGTATTTTTGGGTTGTGGAACGAATCATCTGAGTTTCCATTATTTCTTACGGGGAAATTCGCTTTGATATACGAGTGCTTTGGATTACGAGCACGTTTCCAGAACGAATTATGCTCGCAATCCAAGGTTTCACTGCACGTCACAATAGCCCTTATTCCGACCCTGACATTGTAGCGCCAACTTTAACCAACTCAGCACATTCCCACTTACCCACCACGTGCATTAGGCTACAGATTACGACAGTCGAAGGCCTTGGGCATCCAATCGGATTTATTTCATTGATAAGTCCAATCACATTAGATTGGTTTTCACTAAGCCCTAAAGCTTGCTTACACCAGGGATCCTTCTCTTCCATCTTGTCAAAGCATCACAGCACCCTCTCACGGCGGAAGAGGGGAGTCATCAACAAGCGTTATAATTTTGAATGGAGGTCAAAAGACATCGCAATAAAACACCTCGTTGCGACAGACCCAACGCAGAAGATCCCCCCCCCCCCCCCCCCCTGGGGTTTGATCTCCAGTGAAGCTGCTCACGGTCGACCCCTAAACCCGCAATCCACTGCACAAGCCATGGCAGCAACGGATGCTGACGATACCCGATGCACAAATGGAAAATTCAAAGGTCTCCAGTAGTCGTGTGGCGACTGTGGGTCATCCGAAACGGACCGTAAACAACTAACGAGGCAACGCCCCGATCCACAAATACGAAGGGGACATCACGGCGATGAGACGCTCCTCCGCTGCTGTTGACGACGTTGTTCTGTGGCTTGACCACCTGAATGTGGGACAATTGTAGTAGTCGCTCGGCATCTGCATCAGCGGCCGTGCGAAAGAAGAGGTAAATTATTCGTGGAGGGTGACATTCAAAATGATGAAACTCGCGCACCGCTCGGCTGGAGAAAGTAGGAGATAAATAGCACTATCACTCGGTGCAATGTCCTAATGGACGGGGGGTGGGTGGGTGGGTGGCGGGGAGACAGGGTGCATACTTTATGCTTAAAGCTAAGCCAGCACTGTTGACAGTTGTTGTTGTTGTTGTTTGGACGGGCGACTCCAACGAAGCACGTGGCCTTGGTGCCGGTACATGTCACTTGACATTCCGCTGCCGGATCGAGAGACACGTAGGGGGCAGGGCATAAATGTTGACGAAGCTGATGAAACTCATAATATTGCCGATTAAAAAAAAAACAATATCGCTCTCCTCCATCTTATTTGCCACGTGCCTAAAATACATATTTTTTTTGATTGTCAATGTAAATGACGGATATCTTTCTATTCAACATGTTTATACTCGTCAACCCATAAGGTTTACCCCGTATTCTTGTATAGGGAAATTAAGTTTTCAGGTCCATACTGCGTACAGCCATTTCAATACGGGCTTTGTAGGATGAACGTTGAGATTTACAAGTGGCACGGGGTGACGAATAAGGTCTGAATTGGTCTGTAATAAGGTAGGCAATGATAAGGGGTTGACAGGTATGTATGTTTTTCAAATTTAAAAAAACTTAATAACATTCAAATAAATATCACACTTCATCAATAGATCCAATGTGGAGACTCGGAGCTGATTGTGTCTGGCTCGCACAACTTGTGAATGCCATTCATAAACGCATTTTGCGACTTAACTTGAGAAATGCCATTTTTTGCAAGTAATGCACGTGGAACTTACGCTGTTTAAATTCCAGTCTTAATGCCAGATGTGCGTCCCTCCCACAAGTGTCATGCGTTACGTTATTTTGAACCGCTGGCTACAATTCTACCGTAGATAGTTGCAGATGTTTTATTAGCCGTGCATATAACATTTCCCCGCTATTGTTCGATCTGTACAACCCCTGTAAGCCCTCCCTTTCTTACGTAACACGTACCACCCCCCCCCCGCCCCCCGCTACCGGCATCGGCCGTTCTGTCCGGATCGCCACTGAGAGACAGCTTCCGAGCTCGTCGGTCGTTGCCTGGAGCCACAAAGCCGCTCGCGAAATCTGCAAAACTTTGCAAACGTTCGGAGCAAATGTAAATGCTTCCGGGAGAACGTTCGTGTAAAAACCAAAAAAAACCTTAACACAGGCACGCGCGGTACGTTATAATATTTGACATTCGTGGCCGAGTATAACCGCTGTGAATGGCTGTTCCCCCCCCCCCCCCTTCCGCCCGCGCTTGAAAAGGATGTTAAATTAATTAGGCCACTATACCAGCGAAGGACACTAGCGACGTAAATAATAAAAAAAAACAACCGCTAACATCTCGTGTGATTTGCCGGTCACGTTTCACGACGCACGGGAAGCCGTTTTATGTCCTGAAGGAGAGGGCGACCTTCCCTGCCGAGTCACTGCCCAGCGCCGCCGCAGACTCGGGCTTTGCAGATCTCCGGGAGCGCGACCGAAAATAACGATAAATAAAAACCACCGATAATCGCCACTCGGCCTCAAGCCCACGGAGGTTTTGGCAAACCGTCGTGCCGATGTCCGTGTTGAGCAAACCCGCAAGGCACTTGGACAGGATTCAATCAATCTTGGGGGTGCGACCGGTGGAAATTTACATGAGGGTGAGGTTACATTTCTCGCAGTCAGGTAAAAAATAAAAATAAAGGTAAATGCGCGTGCACGATCGCAAGAACCTTCCGTTGTTCGGATGGCTACCGTTTACGAGTGGTACGAGCCCACACGCAGGCTTGGTCACAAGCGCTGTGAGGTTTAGATGCTGCATGGGTGCAATGCAAACGATGCTCCCAATTCACAGGTGGCAAATTAGGGTCTTTCCACTTTACCTGCATCCTGCCGTGGAGTGGGAATTCATCTTGGCAAGCGAATTGGTGAGATTTCCAGTCTTGGGAATTTTAAGGTGAAATATCCAGACAGGAACAACTGTGTGGAAATGGTCCCTGCCGTAACAATGTGGAATTTTCTTTACCGGTTGCTGTCAAATAAGTTAAGCGTCGCCCGTCACATTTAAATTTAACCCTCGAGTTGTAAAGCAACACCCAACTGCTACAAGGCAATATGGCAGAGGAATACTGGTGTGATAATAATGACACTGCAATTCATTTAATTGTTAAGAAAAGCTCGCAAACCCTTTGGTAAATGAGCCCGGCGTGTGTCCGACCAAATCCATTTTGAACCTAAGAAAACGGAATACATGAAAAACCCCGCTCAAGAGATGGATCAAAAACCTACTCGCTACGCTGGCCACCCTCCGTACCCTCGTGGGGAGGGGGGTCACAAACCCGGCGCGGCCCGAGGAGGAGACGTGGCAGCAAATTCCCGGCGCGTCCCAGCCGGCACGATCGGCCGCACGATTCCGGCCAACTCGGCACACGGGTGTGGACGAGACCCTCGTGCAATTCGGCGACCGAGGGCAGAACGACCGACGGGACGGCGGCGTCACATGCCCGGCGCCGGGTACGCCCGGTTCAGCGTCACCTCCACGCTATCGGCCCCCAGCCGGCACTGCTCCAGCACGAACAGCATCCTCTGGCCGGCGAGAGGCGATGCCGACTCCGTGACCTGCAGCGGCGAGACCCCGGGCGGCACGCTGCCGTGCGCCAGAATCTCCAGCAGGCCGGCCCGCTCCTCGGCCAACGCGCACGCCGCCCGGCGGTCCCCGCGGTCCCACACCGGCACGAACGGCACGTCCAGCGCCACCTTGCGGTCGAGCCCCAGCAGCGTCACCACGAAGTAGCCGACGCGATCGCACGCCGGGCGGAAGGCTTCGGCGGCGGGCGCGGCGCGCGGGGGCAGGCTGGCGCGGCGCGCCGGCTGCAGGTTGCAGAGCTCGCGCTGCGCGTCGCGCCGCTCGTGGTCGTAGCGCCGCATCACGGCCTCGGCCGGCAGCTCGCCCAGGCGCAGATGGTCGGCGAGGACGAGCTGAGAACCCGACCAGCCGTTCGTCTCCCACAGGGCCTCGGCGGAGTCGGGCCCGCGCGCCGCGGAACCCCGCGCCGGCGGGATCTCCTGCGACGTGGTCAGCATCGTCCGGCGCGACGGCTCGCGCTCGGGACCGGCCGACGTCTCCGCCGACGGCCCAAACAAGCCGGCGACGCTCCCTTGGCTCGCGTCCGCCGGGGCGCTGGGCGCCACGGGCTGTCGGCGGCCCCCCACGACGTCGTCGAGCCTCGGCTTCTTTTTGGCGGCGCCGCGTTTGCCGGCGACGGCCGCGCCCGGTCGGGTTTTTTCCCGAGCGCAGGTCGTAGCTGCGCCACTCGACCACCTGCGCGGAGGTCAGCGGGAAGTCGTCCTCGTCCCCCGTCTCGTCCTCCGCCTGCGATGGCGGCGCCGGCGCCTCCGCCGCCGCCTCCGCGCCCCGGACGGGCGCCGAGGGCGGCGCGTCGTGCCCGCCGCCGTTCTCCTGCCCGCCCGCCGCCTCGCTCAGCTCCACGAAGCGCACCTCCGCGATGGTGCCCTGCACCACCAGGCGCTTCCGCTCGCGGTAATGCAGCCGGGCCATCTCCGAGCGCAGTTCCTCCAGCGGGGTGACGGCGAGCGCCGTCGGCAGTCCCTCGGCGAACTCCGCCAGCGTCGGCGGCAGCGGCGGGAAGACGTAGCACCCGCCGACCGCCGAGCGGGCGAAGAAGTCGTCGTCGGCGATGCCGCAGCACCACCGCGCCACCTCGAGCACGGCGGGCTCGGCGGCGTACGGTTTGTCGGCGTGCTGGCCCGTGACGAACACCTGGCTCTCGACGGACGTGGTGAGGTAGGGCCCACCGAGGCCGTGCCTGACGCGCATCTGCGTGCACACGACGAGCGTGGCGGGCCGCAGGAGCTCGTGCACGTCGGGCTGCGACGTGGCGAAGAGCTGCAGCACGAAGGGCTCCTCGCTGCTGGCGTCCACCGCGTGCACCCAGCGGCTCACCCAGAAGTCGTCGCGCGCCCGCCACGGCTCGTCCTTCTTACGGATGCGTTCCTGGCGCCCCACGTACGACACCAGGCCCACCACGTCGCACGCGCGGTCGGCCGGCAGCGAGCCGAGGTCGCGGCGGCGGGTGAAGCGGTAGCGCCCCTCGGGCAGGTGCCAGGCCGGGTCCACGTGGCGCGGGTGCACGACTCGGATGTCGGCGGCCGGGTGGCGCGAGTTCAGGTTGATCTCGAGCGTCTTGAACGTGGGCAGGCCCACGTCGTAGACGTCGGGCCAAGTGCGGCCCGCGAAGGCGCCCTTCAGCGTGTAGTCGCGCAGCACGAGCGCCTGGCCGGGCTGCAGGCAGCGGAACCACTCGGGGCACAGCTCGTTCCACAGGACGGCGGGCATCACGCCCGTGCCGTCGCACACCTCCAGGTAGACGCGGTAGGGCCACGGGCGCCGCCTGTCGACGCGGCCGAAGTGCAGCAGCCGCGACTTGTGCAGCAGCCGCACGACGAGCGGGGGGCCCCTCGCGCCTGCCGCGGCGACCTCCTCGAGGCTCCTGACGGTGGCGCGGCGCGCCAGCCGCACCGGCACGTCCTCGGCCGTCGCCTCCTCCCACCGCCGCCCGTAGTAGTCCTCGCCGTTCCACAGGGGCAGGTAGTAGTCGCGCGCCGCCCCCAGAGGCTTGTCCGCGCACGACGCCCCCAGGGCCCAGGGCAGGGCCTCGGCGTCGGCGCCCACCAGCAGGCGCGAGCGCTCCGCCACCACCTCGGCGTCGGCGATGACGGGGAAGCGGACGCCGACCACCAGCCGCTCGGCCGTTCCGACGTCGTAGCGGAGGACGAGCAGCTCGCAGCCCGCCTTCAGGCGGTTCGTGTGCACGAGGTGGCTCAGCCGGAGCGCCAGCGAGCACTTGAGCCGGCGCTCGCCGTCCGTCACCGTGACGTCGTAGGCGAAGCTGGGCTGCGGCGCCTGGTGCTCGCCGTGCTCCTGCGGCACCCTCAGATCGCGCAGGTAGCGCTCCACGGCCACCACGGCGACCGACGAGGGCTCCACGTTCACCTCCATGCTCTGCAAGTCGCCGAGCGTCGCGGTCAGGCGCGCCAACGGGGTGGGCCCCGGCGGGGTGGGCGCCGGCGGCGGCGATGCCGCGGGGGGTTCGGCCATCGCCGAACGCGACGGCAGCAGTTGCCAAGGGGCGGCTCGGCACCGAAGGGTTCAAGGCGCCGGTGCGGCCGCTGCCGTCTCACCGAACTGCCTTGCGCGCAGAGAAGCTTGCGACGACATCATCCCCCTCCCCCCCGCAGCCTTCGCCTGGCCTAAGCGCTGAGGCTGAGAAAAAAAAAGGGAATTTGTCCACACGGTGCCGCTGGTACGTTCCTGAAGAACGACTGAGACTAAGCATGTCCTTATTGGGGAAGGGCATAGATTGTTGTGAAGTTGAAATATAGGAGGGGTTATTATTACGCGGGTGCAGTCACACCACCGCGGGTTTACATCGGGGATGCGTTCCTGAAAGACACGACGGGGAAAATCGCGATGACGTAAATCCAAGCGTTGATTACCATATAAACACGTAGGTTTCGCGACCAATATCATCCATAAAACAGGTTTTTTTTTAGGGTTAGATCGTGTAAAAATGTGTCTTTAAACTCACCTTTGTCACGTAAACAGAACATGCCAATTCGTTACTAGTACATCATACTGGTGTGTTGGAGAGCAAAGCCACAACATTTACAGGGTTATGTTTATGGATTTGTTTGATTAGGTTTAGGGCTATGAGTGAGGGTTATGAGGGTTATGGGTTAGGCTTGGAGTTTCTGGATATGGTTTGAAGTTAGGGGTTAGGGTTTTGGACTTAGGGGATAGGGTTAGGATGTAGGGTTTATGGGTAAATTCTGGGTTTGGAATTATGGTTAGGGGTTAGAGTTAGAGGGTACAGTTAAGGTTACCGGTTACGTATTATATAGGCTTTTCTTTACCACTAATCTGACAAGAGAGTCTCGGCCTAACACATCACAGCAGTGTCAACCCATTCGCTGGATCAATGCCTTCCCAATCTATATAGGTTCATCGTGGGGGGGGGGTGGTGGTGGGTGGGGTTCTGACCATACTTCACCACGCTGGTCTATGCAGGGGTTTGGATGTGGATTCTGACCATACTTCACCACGCTGGTCTATGCAGGGGTTGTGATGTGGATTCTGACCATACTTCACCACGCTGGTCTATGCAGGGGTTTGGATGTGGATTCTGACCATACTTCACCACGCTGGTCTATGCAGGGGTTGTGATGTGGATTCTGACCATACTTCACCACGCTGGTCTATGCAGGAGTTGTGATGTGGATTCTGACCATACTTCACCGCGCTGGTCTATGCAGGGGTTGTGTGGATTCTGACCATACTTCACCACGCTGGTCTACGCAGGGGTTGTGATGTGGATTCTGACCATACTTCACCGCTCTGGTCTATGCAGGGGTTGTGATGTGGATTCTGACCATACTTCACCACGCTGGTCTATGCAGGAGTTGTGATGTGGATTCTGACCATACGTCACCACGCTGGTCTATGCAGGGGTTGTGATGTGGATTCTGACCATACTTCACCGCTCTGGTCTATGCAGGGGTTTGGATGTGGATTCTGACCATACTTCACCACGCTGGTCTATGCAGGGGTTGTGATGTGGATTCTGACCATACTTCACCACGCTGGTCTATGCAGGGGTTGTGATGTGGATTCTGACCATACTTCACCACGCTGGTCTATGCAGGGGTTGTGATGTGGATTCTGACCATACTTCACCACGCTGGTCTATGCAGGGGTTGTGATGTGGATTCTGACCATACTTCACCACGCTGGTCTATGCAGGGGTTTGGATGTGGATTCTGACCATACTTCACCGCGCTGGTCTATGCAGGGGTTGTGATATGGATTCTGACCATACTTCACCGCTCTGGTCGATGCAGGGGTTGTGATGTGGATTCTGACCATACTTCACCGCTCTGGTCTATGCAGGGGTTTGGATGTGGATTCTGACCATACTTCACCGCGCTGGTCTATGCAGGGGTTGTGATGTGGATTCTGACCATACTTCACCACGCTGGTCTATGCAGGGGTTGTGATGTGGATTCTGACCATACTTCACCACGCTGGTCTATGCAGGGGTTTGGATGTGGATTCTGACCATACTTCACCGCGCTGGTCTATGCAGGGGTTGTGATGTGGATTCTGACCATACTTCACCGCGCTGGTCTATGCAGGGGTTGTGATGTGGATTCTGACCATACTTCACCACGCTGGTCTACGCAGGGGTTGGTTGACACCCCTCGCTTACCGATGCGAGCTCTCTTGTGTTTGTGTGTTGATAAGGGCAAGCAAGTCACCAAAAACCGCACTGCAGCACAATTAGCTATATTAAAAAAAACCCGCACTGCCGCTCGACAAAGTGAGGCGCTGTGGGTGTGCGTAAGCTTTACTGACGTCGAGTGTAGAGAGGAGGGAGACGTTCACTAACGTCGAGTGTAGAGAGAAGAGAAGGAGAGAGTACACGCAGCTTTACCCCACGACGGCGGTGGTGGTGGTGGTGATGATGGGTGAGGCGTCGTTATCCGTGGGCCGGAACGCATTCGCCTCACCGCCCGCGCGCGCGGCCCCCAGGTCGTGCGTTACACGAATACACACGCTCGAGTCATAATAATTGACAATAAAGTTCGCTGCGACGTTGATAATTAAGAGCGAGCAGTTTTGTTGTTGTTGTTGTTACGAAAAAGGGATGTTAATGTGGAGCGCTTAACTCGGCCCAGAATTGCCTAAAAAAAACCCCACAATTGAGCGAGCGACTTTTCTCGGCCACTTAATTTGCTTTAATCGTCTTTATACTGTATATCCTTACACTCGTATATATAAAAAAACGGTGCTACGTTTAATTAACTTAATAATCGCGGTTCTGTGGACACCTGAGGGGGAGCTCAAAACCGCGGGTGAAAGCGCGCGGCCGCGTCTCGATTCAAACTATCCGAGCAGTGACGTCACCCCTACCACCCGTGACGCCACGTCACCTCTACCACCACCGTGACGTCACGCCAATCACTACCTACGGCCCGTGACGTCACGTGAACCCAACGACCGCCGGTGACGTCACGTCCCTACCGACCGTGGCGTCATGTCACCCCCCCCCAACTCTCACACTCCGCAGACCAATGGCATTTGTAGCTCAATTAATCACGAATTACGTCAGAATCTGTATTGATGATCAAATAGAATAAGCATTGATAATCAATACGTCAGAATATTTATCGATTACCAATACCTCAGAATCAATATTGACGCTTCATACGTCATAATCTGTATTGACGATCAATACGTTATCATCTGTATTGCTGATCAGTACGTCATAATCTCTATTGATGATCAATACGTATGAATCTGTATTGGTGATCAATACATCAGAATATTGTATTCATACTGCAGGAGCAATGGGATGAGCAATAACGCTTTTTTTAAACAAATGGATCAATATGACGGTCATTGATGATCAATAATGACCATGCAACGCCTCCTAGTGTGCATTATTATTATTGGTTTAACACGAAGGTTGTCGCGACCAATATAATCCATAATACTCTCCAACACACAACCGGCGTGCTGTACACACAACGACACAGCCAATTCGTAAAAAAATGTTCGTCGCGTGAACAAAACGTGGCCCATTAAGTTACTTGTACAGGGGGCTGGAGAGTAAAGCCACTGCGACATTTACCATTGGGTTAGCTGGTGACAATCACGTTTCGCCGGTACATCATTACAGCAACAACAACAACCACCACCACCAGCATAATCAGGCGGCAGCCAGAATTGGGGTGGGGTGGGTAAATGTGATGTCGTCACTTGTGAACCAATCAGGTGCGAAGACCAGAGGGAGGGGGGTGGGTTCATGTCGTCATACAAGTCACAAGAGATGTCCAATTATGAGACCTCCTTTGCCAGTAACAAGATATAGGAATAGGTTTTACCCTTTTAACTGCCATAAAAACTGACACCTTTATTCAAGGCAAATGTAAATGCTCACCCCGAGCCCTCAATACTCTGATAGTGCGCTGTTTTTGAGTTGTACGCCTTTTGGCGTCTTCTGGTCCAACACCAATGGAGACTAGGCTCTAAGAAAAGCCGTCTCGGGTGTGGACCAATCAAATTCAAGGACAGTGCATATTATTATCAGAGTTGTCTTTTTTGTTTGCATTTTGACAGCTTGTGTTGTGGTTATTGGAAACATGATGCCTTGAATAAAGGTGTCAGTTTTTATGCCAGTTAAAAGGGTAAAACCTATTCCTATAAGAGATGTCCAATTATGAGTTGGGTCATTCAAAGTTAATCAACAAACAGGACTGCACTGCTGCCATCATACGGCAGAGGGCGATACAAGCCCATTGACTTTATTCGGCGTTAGCGGAGGGCCCTCGTTCTTGTATGTATGTTGAACTTCTTTCGCACCGTACGTAGCTAACCGTGCTTTCAATCATCCAAGTGGAAAACTCATTGAGTTAGAGCTGCGTTTTTTGTTTATTTGTGCTGTCCTTCCCCCGTGCCTTCGATGAGCACGGTTGGTTAGCGTACGGTGCGAAATAAGTTCAACTTACATGCATACATAGACTCACACAGAGTCGCATAGACTCACACAGAGACCCATAGACTCACACAGAGGCCCCTAGACTCACACAGAGACGCATAGACTCGCGCAGAGACCAATAGACTCACACTTAGACCCATAGACTCGCACATGGACCAATAGACTCACACAGAGACCCATAGACTCACACAGAGACCTATAGACTCGCACAGAGACAAATAGACTCACACAGAGACCCATAGACTCGCACAGAGACCCATAGACTCGCACAGAGACCCATAGACTCACACAGAGTCCCATAGAATCACACAAAGACCCATAGACTCTTATAGAGACCCATAAACTCACACATAGACTCACACAGAGACCCATAGACTCACACAGAGACCCATAGACTCACACAGAGTCACATAGACTCACACAAAGACCCATAGACTCTTATAGAGACCCATAGACTCACACAGAGACCCATAGACTCACACATAGACTCACACAGAGACCCATAGACTCACACAGAGACCCATAGACTCACACAGAGTCACATAGACTCACACAAAGACCCATAGACTCTTATATAGACCCATAGACTCACACAGAGACCCATAGACTCACACATAGACTCACACAGAGACCCATAGACTCACACAGAGACCCATAGACTCACACAGAGTCCCATAGACTCACACAAAGACCCATAGACTCTTATATAGACCCATAGACTCACACAGAGACCCATAGGCTCACACATAGACTCACACAGAGACCCATAGACTCGCACAGAGACCCATAGACTCACACAGAGACCCATAGACTCACACAGAGACCAATAGACTCACACAGAGACCAATAGACTCACACAGAGACCCATAGACTCGCACAGAGACCAATAGACACACACAGAGACCCATAGACTCACACAGAGACCCATAGACTCGCACAGAGACCCATAGACTCACACAGAGACCCATAGACTCACACAGAGTCCCATAGACTCACACAGAGACCCATAGACTCGCACAGAGACCCATAGACTCGTGCAGAGACCCATAGACTCACACAGAGACCCATAGACACACAGAGACCCATAGACTCACACAGAGTCCCATAGACTCACACAGAGACCCATAGACTCACACAGAGACCCATAGACTCACACAGAGTCCCATAGACTCATACAAAGACCCATAGACTCTTATATAGACCCATAGACTCACACAGAGACCCATAGACTCACACATAAACTCACACAGAGACCGATAGACTCGCACAGAGACCCATAGACTCACACAGAGACCCATAGACTCACACAGAGACCAATAGACTCACACAGAGACCAATAGACTCACACAGAGACCCATAGACTCGCACAGAGACCAATAGACACACACAGAGACCCATAGACTCACACAGAGACCCATAGACTCGCACAGAGACCCATAGACTCACACAGAGACCCATAGACTCACACAGAGACCCATAGACTCACACAGAGACCCATAGACTCGCACAGAGACCCATAGACTCGTGCAGAGACCCATAGACTCACACAGAGACCCATAGACACACAGAGACCCATAGACTCACACAGAGTCCCATAGACTCACACAGAGACCCATAGACACACACACAGAGACCCATAGACTCACACAGAGTCCCATAGACTCACACAGAGACCCATAGACTCACACAGAGACCCATAGACTTACACAGAGACCCACAGACTCACACAGAGACCCATCGACTCACACAGATGCCCATAGACTCACACATAGACTCACACAGAGACCCATAGACTCACACATAGACTCACACAGAGACCCATAGACTCACACATAGACTCGCACAGAGACCCATAGACTCGCGCAGAGACTCATAGACTCACACAGAGACCCACAGACTCACACAGAGGCCCATAGACTCACACAGAGCCCCACAGTTTGTTGTCCTTCCCCCGTGCCTTCGATTAACCACGCTTGGTTACCGGACGGTGCTATAGAAGTTCAACGCACGTTACATGCGCGTGCCACCACGAGTGATGAACTTCTGATTTAGACCAACGGAGCAAGCACAACACAACGGCTGCACTAATGAGACGGTAGTTATTGCTCGTGATTTGCTTACATTTTCTATAGTTTGCATACATCTCGCGTTTTTGTGTATCGTTTGTTTGTCGAACTACAAGAGCTTCATAGCTCATCGGATTCCCTCCTCCGGTCTGAATAAAGATTATCATTCCCAAGTGAGATCACAACAATGGGACCGATAGCGTCCCTGCAACGTGTCGCGACCTGGCGACCCGAGTTCGATTCCCGCTCACGGCCAACACCGGTGACGATTATCTAAACTGGCCCAGGGCCTCCTCTAGGTCGACTCCGCCTCAAATGAGTACCTGGTGAGGTGTGTAAAAACATTGCCACTGGGGAGACAAAGACGGCCGGGCGTGGTGCTGGCCACCCACCCCCTTGTATGCCGTGCCGGCCTTCATAGTTGCTGCTACTCGCTAACACGGGGTTGGAGTGTTTATTTGTTCGAGTGTTAACCCGCAAGGCATTTGGAATTTGAGTTAACGACGCTTCGCTGGTGATTTACAGCAGCAGCAGCAGCATCATCAGGCGATTGCCACGCATTGTCACGGTTTTTGATCACGTGAACACAACCCCCCCCACCTCACTAATTGGCCTCGTCACGGGGTGGGGGGGGGGGTGCACGACACAGTCACATTTACGCGATTGAACCCCAGCAACAACCCATACCCTATATTCTTGGTTCTTTCGGTAAAGTCACGTAGAAGGGAAAACAATAAAATAATAAAAATATAAAACAATAAAATTCTCACGACGTTTCGACTGCAACACAAGCAATCATCATCAGGTGTGAAAACCAACGGCAAGAAATTTTGAAAAAAGTGGCGGTTATTTTTAACGTTAGCACCACGGAGAGCGATTTGGCAGTTTGTTCAGATGGACGAGTCCATCTATGTTCGACGAGTCCATCTATGTTCCGAAAATAATAAAAAATAAATATGTATTTAAAATATAAAAGTATATTTTATTATTTTATTGTTTCCCTTCTACGTGACTTTACCGAAAGAACCGATAATATGAATCCCTGCAGTCACGAAAGCTTTAAATCAAAACTTATTTTTCGTCTATTCGTTTGTGTGTCTCCCTTGTGATGGGACTCTATAGGATAGGATGCACGTTGAGATTCATAAGGGGCACGGGGAGTGACCAAAAATGTCTGAATTGGTCTCTAAAAAAGTAGGGCACTGATTGGGGGTTGACAGCTGTGACAACCCCGACAATACGCCCCCCCCCCCTCCGCAACGCTATCGTGAACAATGCTGATCGCTTAAGCTCCGCTTGTTAAAACGGGAAACTTCGTGAGTCGCAAAAAAAAACAACTTAGGATGCCTTGAACCGGTTAGAAAATTCTAAATCT